AGTAATAAAAAGAAAGAAGTTTGCCTGAATTCCTTGCAGACTCTTGGGGAGGTGGGGCACATATGTTCTCTGCCCATCTGTGGGCCAAACAGCTCTCATCCAGCCCCAGAGATTTCGTCTCAGACTTGAAGATGCATTGCACTGAGTTTCCACATTCTTATCTCTTCTCAGAAGTACAGCCCTCCTGCTGTTCTCATCAGGTTAAAAAATTTATTTAGGCAATTACTTCAGATTTACAAAAAGCTTCCACGTAAATGATCTCATTGGTATTTCTCTATGACATTTCTGTTTTTTTAATTTTTATTTGTAATTGATGCATAATAATTATGCATATTCATGAGCTGTAATGTAATGTTTCATACATGTATGCTATATGATGACCAAAATCATATCTAGTGCCTCACAGAGGGATCATATCTTTATGGTAAAATATGCAAAATCCTTTTTTCTACATATTTTTTTTTTATCCTGCCTCAGGTTTATTTGTACAAAGAGCACAGGAGGCCACCAGCTCCCCACAGATGGCACCCCAGGGGTCACACCAGTCCTTCTGTTTTTACATCAGCAGATAAGAGGCTTTTACTGTGGAGCCTTCATGGAGGCCTGGGCACCTTTGGGAGTCTGGGCTGGAACAGAACATGGAGCCTGGGCTTTGGCTGGAGCCTGGGCCTTTGGCCGGCAAGGCCTGCGATCCTTGGCAATGCGGGCATGGATACACTTCCCAAGCTTTGGGTGGGCAATATAGGCAAGTTGAGTGAGCCTGTGGTTTCCTCCCTTTGGGACCATCTTGGGTTTACATTCCTTTGGGATGATCTTGACTTCCTTGGGCTTGACGAGGGCCTTGATAGCCTTGGCACATGTACTCACGGCCTTGGCATTGTGTGCTTGCATCTTCTTGAAGCCCTTCTTATTGTGCTTCTTGGCAAATGCATGTTCCTAAGGAACTGGGGATCTACCTCCTTCAGAGTTTTGTTCTTTGTGACTGAGGTTTCTTGATACCATTTCTGTGCCATTTTTGGGACTGGTTGTGCGTCGTGTGGTTCTTGGACTTGGCCATAACTGCACTGTAAACTGCAGCTTCTTCTACATATTTTTAACAACACAATACACTATTGTTAGCTATAGTCACCTTACTGTACGACAGACATGAGAACTTATTCCTCCTGACTATAACTTTGTTGCCCACTACCCTCAGGCTCTGATTTTCCATTATTCTACTTGCTATTTCTGTGTGTTCAACTGTTTTACTATTCATGTTTACAGATAAAGGGTCTGAGATGTACAGAGACTCATATGCATCGGAAATAGTGAGACCAGATTAAATCCAAACTTTCCTAACTACAAAAGCTATGTTCTGTCCAACTGCGGTGTTGTCTCTCAGCTAATGCATGGCCATTTGTTTTCCTTCCACGAGCAATTCTACCCTTCCTGCTTTGATAACTGCCTGATATTCTATTTAATGTCAGTTAGTATAGATTAACATTCAAGTTGTCAATCCCTGTTTTAAGATCTGTAGTTTAAAAGATAGGGCTGTTCAACTGGAATCACTAAATGATTAAAGGATAAGAAAGTTTCAGGGTAAAATACAACAAAAGAATTCAGTGGATAGAAATGAAATTAATTTTAAGATAACTGAAATGAAAGCCAGATATATATATATATATGTATATAGACATGGATTAATAGCAAGCAATAAAGAAACATATTTAGTAGTTTAAAATATATTCATATTACTCTTCAGTGATCTATTAAAAACAGCATGATTTGACATGGAAAACACAAATTATCTGCAAATTAAAGAGTACACGTGCCCCCTATAACTCTCCCCAAATGATTACTGAGTGCCTTTGTATTCTACTATGTGCAAATGTTATAAAAATTTTATGCTTTTTCAATAGTTGCAAATCTAGCAGGAGTGTTCTAAAGTAACCAATGACTTGAAAAAACTGTACAATCAGTCAGGATAGGCTAGGTTGTGTTTTAAAAACAACTAAGCCCAAATTGTATAGATTTAAATTCAAAATACATTTTTTGTTCACAGTATGGTATTTTTTTGCAGAGATGCACTATAGGTCTATTCCAGGACTTGGCTACCATCTGGAATGTTGACTGTTATAGCAAAAAGAAAGAGTTGTGGAGGCCATTGCCCTGACAATTAAATTCTCTGACCTGGAACTCGTATGTGCCACTTCCACTTATATTTTATCAGGCAGGGAATGTTACGCAGCCACACCTTACTTCTGTGGGGCCAAGATGTACAACTCTACTATAAGCCCAGAAGGAGGAAGAAGCAGAGCCACTGACGGTTGAATAGCACTAAATCCTGCCTCAATTATTGTAGTTTTTCAGGAAGCTCCAAGACAGCAAGTCACTCTTTGTGAGGGCAAGGAACAGGGAAATCACAGAAAAGCTGAGACAGTCAGCTAGCTGTGTTACTAAGATGTTCACCTCTGTGACAAAATACTGAAAAAAGCCTTAACATATGAAAGATTTAGTGCAGAGGATTCAGTCCATAATCTGAAGAGCCTGGTCCACAGTAGAAGAGCCTGGCAGAGAAAAACTGCTCACCTCCTGGCCGCCAGGAAGCAGAGAGAGAGAGAAGCAAGGAGCACAAGATGAAAGGGCCAGTGACCAGTTATATTTGTCAAGCTCACACCCATGGCCCACTCCCTTCAAAGTTTTCCAACAATGCCTTCAAATTATATGTCCGTCAGTGGATTAATTCACTGACCAAGTTGAATCCTCATGATCCTATCACTTTCCAAATGTCCAGCCTCTGAACTTAGAAGACTTTGGAAGAGGGCATGCATTTTAGATCTAAATGATAACTAGTTGTCACTAGATTACCATAAAAAAGTGTCCCAGGTAAAGCTGCCAAGAGCTGGCTGGGACCATAGCACAGAGTATAGGCAAGAGTGAGGAGGAGTAGGAGGCAGACAGGCCTGGAAGGTGGCCTTGGGGGTGAAGGATGCAGTGTACAAGAGGCGAGAAGCCGTGGCTGCTCTACCATGGTAACTAATTTGAATTTTCAGGTATAGTGAAGTCATTTAAAGAAGTTAAAGTATGCTGTAGGACAGAAGACAGCTGGAAGGAAGGGAAAATGGTGGGCATGAAGTGTGAGAGGCCCGCAATACCTCATACGTGGTGGTCTAAGCCGCAGCACTGACAGAGGAACGGAAGGAATGCAACCTATTTCAAAAATACTCAGACTCAAAAACCAACAGAACTTGAAGACAGAGGATAAACCCCGGATTTTTACTGAAGAGATCAGTACAATTCACGAGATTTTGCTCATGTTGAATGCGTGTTTCCACTTGTGGAACATGAACAGTAGATATACATCAGTTATGTGAGGTATGACAAAAAATATCATGAGGGTCTACAGGGTAGATTTCAAGGAAATAGCTGTAGCTCAGTCCTACAAGTGACACCTGGCCACCAGTAACTGTCACGGTCATTATGCATGTCCACAGCACACTAAAACTTTGTGCGATATCCTATCCTCAAACTGTTAGAAGTGCTGGTCATTTATTAGCCATTCTAGTATTTATCTTATGTTTTACTCTTAGTACTTCTTTGCTATCATGAAAACTTTTTCTTAGTTCAGTCGTTTTGAAACATTTAATTTTTAATTAATTAGTATTTAATTTTCTGAATATTGCTTAATTTTTGTCCTAAGATTTATACTATATCTTTGACTTACAATTTATTTAAAATACATGGTATGATATCTTCTCCTAGTATTAGAAACTTTAAAAAGTAAAAAAAAATCATGAGCACTTTTTAAATTTTTAAAATTATTACCATCAAGGACACAGTGCCATTAGTCCTCCTTTAAATACTCCCCTCACTTTGAACACATTTCTGTTCTCATTCTTGCCACTTTCTGAAGCAGACATGGGAGTCCTTTTCACGTCTTGTGCTCTAGCAGCTGCCTCAGTGTTCTAAACCCATTCGAAATGCTGACCTTTCATGGTCATCCTGACTTTGGGGACAAGCCAGACTCTACGAAGCAAATGAAGGTGTATCATAATGTCTTTAACAAACCTTCCTTTTCACTGGATGGTATTCAGCAGGGGCAGTCACTGTGTTTTTTTTTTCTCTCACAGCTTGTAAAACATGAAAGAGGCCTATTAGAACTGCTTTAGAAAGCATCAAGAATGCAAGAACCTTAAAGAGTAAATGAAATCTGGAACGACAATAGACAGTGAGAAAGGAAAAGAAACTGCTCCAAGGGAAGGAACAACTGGGATGAGGGAAAGGAGGAAAGAAAGAAGGGAGAGAAGTACACAAGGTTGTTTAAAGGACAATCACGCTGCTCATTTCTACTGGTCTATTGAAAGGAACAGTTGATGCTAATTTTTTTTCTTTTTAATTTTTTGACCAATTGTACATGCTTATATTGTAATCTAGAATAACCAGTTTGAAGACACCAATATATAACAACCATTGTTAAATTTATATCATTTTGTTTACTGAAATTCTGTATTGTTTCTAATGTTTGTTTCTATATTACTACTTTTATTCTCTCTCTCTCTCTCTCTCTCTCTCTCTCTCTCTCTCTCTCTCTCTCCAGTACTGGGGATCAAGTTCAGGACTTTCTGCTTGTCAAGTAGGCGTTTATGCCCCTGAGCTATCTCCTAGGCTCTATTCTCTTAAAAAAAAATCAAAAAGGAAAAAAAAAATGACAAAATAAATGTGTTGGAAATGAGAGGGGATATTTTGAGGGGAATTAATGGCAATATGTTTGTTACTGTAGTGCATTTTAAAATTTAAACATTCACATCATCCCATGTACAAAGTTAGAGGTTAAAAGAAAAGCCTGGGGTAGATCCCTGGGGCATCGGGGGCAGGATTTGAAGGCATAATGGGAGATAAGGTTTCTCAAGGATCTCAAATGAAAAGACAGACAAAGATATATCCTAGGAAACAATATATCCGTGGAGGTGGGGACCTTGCAAAGGAGACGCAGGGAGGGTGGTGAGGTGGAAGGCAACTAGCGAGGGCAAGTCAGAAGAGGAGAGAGCTTTACCACGAAAGTAATAGTTAACAGGCTTACCCACCACAGAGCTGTCAAATCACAGAGATGTCAACAGAGAGCCAGTGAAAGTAGTACTTAGGATGTTGCTACCAGAGAGAAGGAACCTTTGCAAAGCAGCTTTAATGGCATGATGGAGGGAGGAAGTCTTTGCAGGAACTAAGGAGGCAACGAGAGAGAAGGACCCAGAGAAGAGATCTGGAAGTATGCAGGAAAAAACTGGGGTCAGGAAATTTAGAGGATCACAAAGTCCAAGCCAACTAGAGTGTGTGTGTGTGTGTGTGTGTGTGTGTGTGTGTGTGTCTGTGTGTTTGTGTGTGTCTGTGTCTGGGTGTGTGTCTGTGTGTTCACAAAGGAAAGGTCTTCTTTACTGAGAAGATACAGCCAGAAGGAGTAAAAGGCTGAAGATAGATGGGAGAGGTGATTATATAAGTGAATTAGAAAGATCCCAGCAGAGGGATCTGAGAACATAGGTGTCTCAGTCACTTTTCTCTCATTTCTGAGACAAAATATCTGACACCCAAAATTAAGGAAGGAAAGATTTATTTAGCTCACATTTAGTGGGGGGTTCAGTTCATACTCAGCTGGCTCTAAGGCCGAGTGGCACATGGCAGAGGCCAGCTGTTCATAGCTGTGGAAAGCAGCAGAAAGCAAAGGGAGGAGCAATGGCTATGGTAGCTAGCAAGCCTCTCTCCCTCCCTTGTATTGTATGCAAGGTATCTGTCCCAGGCCAGATATAGCATTCATACCCATAATCCCAGCATTGGATCATGAATTAATCTCAAAACTCTAGAGGCCGCCCCAATGACTGCATTAGGCTTTGGGGGACAACTAGACACAGACCATAACAATAGGGAAACAGCCATCCCTTGGAAAGGATAGTCAAACACCTCTCAAAAAGATACCAGCATCCCACTCTTAATTAACTGGGAAGGTAAGATATTGGAACAGACACAAACCAAGAACACACAGAAGATATCCCTGAAGAAGAGACTTTTCATAGAGAAGCCTTGATACAGATGATATAGTACCTACTATAAAATCTTGCAAGAACACAAAAAACAAAATAAAAAATTTTAATAGAAAATGACAAGATGCAGCCTTAGACCTGAACCTGCCCAGAGCAAATCCAGGAGACAGCCAGACAGAGGAAAATAGAAGACACTTACATAAAACTTCTGAAAT